CCCCCCCCTCATAGTTCTCCTTTAAACAATGTGACATAATGTGCGACTCATTAATATTTGAAGATATGCAAATCAATCAGCATAAATCAAACAATGTGAAATATTTCACATTGCTTCATATATTTTTTGCACCATAACTATTAGGGATGCACAGATACTTTCCGAGTACCAGTGCCGATACTTGGCATTTTCATGAGAACTCCCAGGGTTGCAGCGGTTGTAGCTGGGACCGGGCTCTGGCGCTCCACCACTGTCCTGAAATCATTAGTCTGTATTGATTTAGAAAAACTGTCACATGACAATAAATAAAAATATATCAGTACTCGTACTCGCAAAACTGGTATCGGTGCATCCCTTATATATATTTATAAAAACAAAATCGTACATTAAAACAGAGATGTACAAATCCCGGGAGCTCCGTGTGCTCCTTACACATGACAGCCACCTCCTAATTTATGAATTTTTCTCTAGCCTGGTCTTGGAGCTCAAAAGTATCTGTACTTGTACTCGTCTCGTACCGAGTACTGTACTTGGTATCTGTGCAACCCTAATAACTATTGTATTTTATAGGGACGCACCGATACCGGTATTTTGGTACCGAGTACAGATAATTTTTTTTCGGTACCAATTACCGAGTAACGGAAGTCCCATTCAGGAAGCCAGGCGCTGTGTAATGACTCGCCACTGGATTCCTGATTAACAAAAAAGTCCCCTCTTACCTTAGTATGTGTAGCCTGTCATCCCCAGGGGCCTCTCCAGTGAGAACGCGGCCTTCGTCCGGTACCCAGCCGGAGCCGGCCAATCAGGAAGCCGGGCGCCGTGATTTCCCCCCACCATGGCCGTTAATATGGAGTCGCCCCCTCCCCCCACCATGGCCGTTAATATGGAGTCGCCCCCTCCGCCCACCATGGCCGTTAATATGGAGTTATTTGGATCATATCTCAGTTCTGGATCACCCTGGGACTACACCCGCATCCCTATCCTGGATTGCCCCCAAGAATGAATGTCCCCTTTATGCCGGCACCACCTCACTCACCTAACTGCTTCATGTTGGGATTGAAGTCCACGCTGGTGATGGTGTCCCTGTGGCCCTTGAAATGCCGCTCGAGGGAAGGATCGTCCTGAGATGAGAAGAACATCAATTAATAAACACAATGCTTGTCTAAAAACAAAACCTCCCGTTCTCAGGTCCAACGCCACCCCACTTCCAGGCAAAATGCAGAGTGGCATGGAACCCACTTCCTATGAGCGCCAGGCGGCGAGGACACAGCTTCCTGGTCATGTGATCACTGTGTATGTCTATTGATGACATGATCCCCGGGTCCTCTGTCAGGGTGTATTGCTATCTGTGTCCCCATTGGAGAGATTCAACCCCTCCCCCCATATATGTCCTGATGTCACTGGATCTGCAATAAAGGTGAAATCTTCTAACGGTGACACCTGTTCTGGTGACAATTATCTATAAGGATCACTTCCTGTTGTGTCTCCAAGACAGGAAGTGAGGGGAAATCTCCTGCATGATACCCAGATAGCAAAGAAAAAAAACTGCCAGGGGTTGTCACCCTTTCCTACGAAAAAGGAACGTTTTGCCCTTCCATTCACTTTAAATATTGAAGCTCAGAGAGGTGTCACCTGTACAAAATTATGTATATATTGACATATCAAAGACAAGCTGGGCAGGGTAACGGAAGCCCCGATATAAGGTGTCAGTCCCTGATATAAGGTGTCAGTCTGGGTCCCCCCCCCAGGTCACCCCTTACCGGCCGCTCCATGGTGCTTATCCCCTCAGCGTCTCCCCCGCCGATCCAAATGTGCCGCCGCGGCCCGGGTATCCCTCTTCGCCACGCCTCTTCCGCTCTACACCAATCACAGCCGGTCTCCCTTTGCTCGTAGCCACTGGCAAAAGGCGCCGCTCACCCCGCGTCAATGCCGATTGGCTCAAGAAGAAGTGATAGGCGGGGCCAACGACTTCTCAAGTCAAGAGACGGTTGCTAGGCGACGGGAAGCCGTGCGGGAATGAGAACCGGAGTGACATCATATCCGGTTGGAGGAGCGCCATGATGGATGGGGAAGTTGAGCAGTGTTACGTCATATCCGTTTAGAGGGGAACCTTGATAAAGGGGGGAATGAGGGAAAGGAGACCATGGTGACGTCATATCCGTTTAGAGGGGAGCCATGATGCAGGAAGATGATGACAGATGGAGGGGTTGTTGGAAAGAAGCTAATTTGTGTGTTAAAACTAAGCTAAAAAAACCTCTCTTTTCATGAACTACACGTCCCTGCATACAGTGGGACAGTATGCTGGGACTGGCAGACTATGTTAAGATGCTGCCTACAGTACTACAAGTCCCAGCATGCATTAGGTTAATATAGATTACTTGGACTACCTATATATGATTCCTGAGGTACTACAAGTCCCAGCAATCAGTTGGGTAGTATAGTAGACTAGGACATCGTGTAGATAGTTCATGCAGTACTACAAGTCCCAGCATGCAGTTGGGTAATATAGTATACCAGGACAACCTGACGATTATTTCTGCAGAACGTAAACTTCCAGCATTCAGTCAAACAATTATTTTACATTCAATGTAAATCTGGACTAGCTACAAAATGTGACCACCCCAGGAAGAGTCAATTTCCTAGCACAGTCCCCGCCCCCTCCCTCCTTACACGGCATAGCCCTTTCTTCAGGAAGTGTCTAAATACTGTCCGTGCTGGCCCTGCTCCTCTGTGTGACAGCGGCAGTCTGCAAAAATCCCCCCCTGTTGCCAGAATGGCAACACCCTGCACGAGGATTTTCTGCACCTCGTCATATAGGGGTGTTTGGTATCTATCTATCCGCTAGTTTCTTGTTCCTCTAGGTAGATGGTTGGTATGACTGTACTTTCATCATATCAAGATTTATGGAATATGAATAGAGTTTGGGAGCTGGGTTGTATGAAAACGGGCGGCCTCATGCCACAGAGAGCCAGAATCAACAGCACGTTGCTCTGTAGTCTTTACGGCAACCAATTCCGGCATGCATTAAGGCCTGATAAGCTCTACAAGGGTTCTATGGCATCGGTGCTTTACAGTGGCATTTAAAGTCTTTGGTTAAGTATGAAGGCTAGCCTGTATTTGTGGGAGGAGCCCGTGCCTTTAAGATGGCACAGCTTGCGGGGCTCCAACCCCCCCCCATACCCACTTTTTCATTCAGATCACTGGGTATGCCCCCTTTTAGGCATACTGACCTGAGAAGGCCAAGGCACACCACAGGCCGGGGGGGTCAGGGTATCAATTACCTGGTCAGGCTCAGACCACAAATGCTGTTCATGCATTGCAGCCTGATCTTGTCTTGGGCTGGATTATTTTAGTGGCGG